TTTTTTTTTTTTTTTTTTAGGTTAGAAAATGTTTTTTATCATGAAAATAATAAAAAAATGGAAATGAAAAAAAAAAAGTTATTTACCGTGAAATACCGCGATATAGCGAAACTCTTGCGACTCATCACAAACTCATCCAGTCGCTACTTCCTCCCGAGATGGATTGTGTCAAGTCTGTCTGTTTTCCTTCCATTCTGTCTATTTCTGTGGGTGTCACCACACTTACTCGTGTCCTGTGATTACCTGTCGAGTCAGGCAGCTATGTGTCATGTAATGGTTGTCGTGAGTTCTTGATTCTAGCTTGCTGTTTTTTGCCTGGTCCTGATTCCCGTGAGTTATCCTAGCTATTTGTTTTTTTTGGACTTGGACTTTATGAATTAACTGCACCTGATCTTGGTCTCTCGAGTGCTGCATTTGGGTCGTACCTGCTTCCTGAATCTCCTGAAGGAAACAGATTGGATGTAATTTTTGGTCTTTCAGCAACATAAAAAATGTAAACGTGATTTCATGAATCTCAGCTGTCCGTGCCATTTACTGTTTTGTGATTGGGTCACACGAGTTATGTAGGTGAATTTGAACAAGAAAATTACTTTTATACCTTTATAATGTTTATATAAAAGATTAGACAGTCCAGAATTAGATTAGATAGAACAAAATCTTCAACGAACGGAACCCATGGTCTTTTCCTTATTAAAGAACAGCCTTTTGGATTTTTTAAGGCGGCATGCGACCTGAACACCTTAAAGCAGTGGTCTGATTCTGAACGATGTTTTATTTTGAAAAATTACTTGCTTGTGTTTCTGTCACTTAGTTATCAAAAATAATAATTATCTAGATGCATAAGAACTGGGATGCTGCTAGGTGATCGGCTGGACGTCTCATGCGCTCGGATGAGCGGCGTTAGTAGTGGCATGAATTTGTACTACTCTTGTGTAAAGTGTTCGTAGTCTGATTTAGTCATGAATAGGGTCATGGCCTGAGGTTTAATATATATATATATATATAATTATTTTTTTCTCTCTTTCAGCTATTCCCCTCTTTGCTTCACTTGCAAATCCACGCAGAACTCTTACAGCGAATGTGGCCCAATTGCACGGCGCCAACTGGACGTTGTTCCCGGAATGCGCCGTTTCGTCCAATCAGAGCAAACTGCGTGGAAGAAGTCGGAAGCGGCCTGACATTTGTACCAATGGATTGGCTCTCTCGTATGACGCAGAGACCGGAAACACTGTAACATCGATTCCTACTATACCGGCGTCCGCTTCATGAGCATCATTGTAAGGACTTTTCTTCCACCAACTGTTGTCTTAAAAGAAAAGTACGAATCCGACGCGACTATTTCTCCCTAAACATGTTGACTTTATGCGGGTTGTCGGTGGCTCTCGCTCTTGCTCTGGTGCCCGCTCCCGCCGCAACGCTGAAGGAAGGAGAGTGTGAAGGTAGGTCTGTCTTGTCTGTTAGCCTTAGCTCCAATGCTAAAGCTAACAAACGATAATTTGCCTAAAATTGGACAGGTGTAGAATTGTTGAACTCCAAAATCTATTAAATTTGTATTTTAACTAACAACAGTAAATATAAAAAATACGGTAAATAAACCAAATAAAACAAATACACAAAAATTGATTTAAACCCTGTATATACCATGTCCTACAGCTTCCTGGCAGAGAATAAACAATAAAAAAGTTTACATATACTTGTAAATTACTAACTTCATTCAATATTGAAATGAACATGGCAGGTATAACAATATAAAATACAAATTCACAAATTCCACTTAGTATTATTAATTAAATAAATAATAATTGAAAATACACATACGCTATACAAAACTAATAATAATAATTGAAAATACACATACGCTACACAAAACTACATAAAAGACGTAATGTTAAAATGTTTAAAAAACATTGCAGTAATATAGTACAATATTTGCACGTTTATATAGAGGATGAGCAAAGCATTGGAAAGAAATCAAAAGTCTTAATTATGTGTTTTTGTATTTATCCATTTTGACACAACTTGGTTATCTGTCTTACAGTAGTTTAGTTATCATGTTTCTAATTGCAGGCAATGTGAGTGCGGTTGAAGTAAAAATGCTGTAGTACTTGTTTTCTTTTTATTAAACATGTTGAGACTTACCTCTTGTCTTGTTTCTCTGGAGTTGTAACTGCTGTAACCCCAGATGACATTAACAACCTTGAAGAAATTAAATCACAGGACAAAACCCCAAAAGTGGATCTATAACAGAATTTCACAAACTATTGCTTTCTGTAACATTTCCAAAAGGTGCCAACAATGTAATAAAATAATGGTGCTATTATCGCAATATGTTATTCTAGAAATGTATTTTTCTTTTTATGTATCCAGTATGTGTGACCTTTCTTGGGAAGTTTTACCAGTCTCTCCAAGACAACAACGTGAAGTTCGACAGCGCAGCTATTGAAAAGGCCATTTTAAAGATGTGCAAGGATGCAAAAGGCAAAGAAAACCGCTTTGTAAGTAAATAATGGGTTAGAATTTGATCTTACATTGACACTAACTATGTTCTGAAACAGTAAATTATTCCAAATACAGAATCTTACAGATACATTGTAAACGCCACTGTAAATCAACTTGTTTCCTCCTTCATGTGTCCAGTGTTACTACATTGGGGCAACGACGGACGCAGCAACCAAAATGATTAACGAAGTTTCCAGACCACTCAGCTACCACGTGCCTGTGGAAAAGATCTGTGAAAAACTCAAGAAGAAAGATAGCCAGATTTGTGAACTGAAATATGGTTAGTATTTCCTCTCCATGATCAGCATTTGGCTCCATTTCAAGTTTAGTTATTAACCTACTGACTGTCACTTTCAACGTAGAAGAAAACTCTTTATTTATTAAACACTTTATTTTAACATGAAGTGAAAATTGAGTAAAACACAATTATGTAATGGATTAGGATCAATTACACACAACTGTTACGATTGCTGAGTTTCATTGCTCTTAAAACCTCAATATCTGCTCCACCACTAGTGTGTGATAGTCTAGTTTTATTTTGATTACAACTATCCACAAAGTGATTAGGCTCTAACCCTATGTAACCACATCAACAGCCAAAGACGAAACTCTTCTTTGCCCTGGAGAAAAACAACTCGTTTCTTAGGGAATATAGTGACACCTAGTGGACAAATTTAGATTTAAAGGTTTTACAGGCTGTCGAATGTATAGGGAAAACACAAGCTACCACGGTAAGAAATACAAAAATTAAATACATTTTGCTTAAATAAATCTTTCCACTTGATACTGAACTTCAAATTTTTTTGAAATTTAAAGGCACCCTGAGTGTCTTATCTAGGGAACATAATTGGTTTAATGGTTTAATCATCTCGACCCTTACAAAAGAAGTGTAACGTTGTGACAAACTTATTGTTTGAGACAATAAATCTTAAAAAAAAAATTACTAGCCAAATTTGGAAAACTTTTTTTATTACATGCATGTAGTAGATAGTTTTCAAAGGCTTTTGGCACATCAAAGATCAACTGTCTCCAATGGTTTGTGAAGTTTGACTGTTTTTTTTCATCCCATACAGACAAACAGCTGGACCTGAGTTCAGTGGACCTGAAAAAGCTCAAGGTGAAGGACTTGAAGAAGATTCTGGAGGAATGGGGCGAGTCCTGCAAAGGTTGCGCTGAGAAGTCTGATTTCATCCGCAAAATCACAGAGCTCATGCCCAAGTATGCACCAGCTGCTGCCAAAGCACGGACAGAACTGTAACGTGACAAAAACACAAAGTACAACACAAAGGAACCCTGGACTCAATTTGGACCAAACTGTTATCACGGACCAGGAATGACTGATGTTTGACATGTTTTTTTTTTTAAAAAAGTTTTCAGATACGAAGGTGCCAATGTTGGGGGTTTACAGACGCAGTACATAAGACATGACAGTGCCCTATATATATAAATATATATATGAAAATTAAGTTAATATTCACCTTGCTTTCAGTTATTTTGTAAAATAACAAAAACAAAATTAATAAAAATATAAGCCTATATGTATGTTACCATAAATGTGACGGATGACTCTGGAATCCCTCCATTCATGGATCTGTGTCTACCTTTTAGGAACCACTGTCATCTAATGTGATGAACAGTCAGGGTGTGGATCTGTCAGTTCTTCCTCAAATGTAAGTACTGACACAGGAACAGGGTACAGGGATCAGTCGAGTGTTGGTGAACTGCCTATTCCAACGACTGAATCAAAACCATTACCAGGTTTGTCACTTCTCTCCAGTTTAATGCCATAATACAGAGAACACCCAGAGGGTCAACAAACACTAGTGTCTTTGGAAGACCAGTGTTTTTCATCTTTATGCCAGTCAGGTTTGTCACACAGCACTCTCTTCTCCTGCTAAGTTAATGTGACACGCCTTCTGGTGACATTATGGTTCATAGAGGAGGCTCATGCTTTTGTTTTTTTCATAGAAAATAGGAATTTGAGACATTTTGAATGCATTAGTTTTAGAGTGAAGTCTTCAGGTTTATTAGGAAGTGTATCAATGGAGATGTGGGAGGTTAATCAGGTGGTGCAGGTTTGTCCAGTTACAGGCAGCTCTTCTTTTTATTGTACATTAGCATGATCTCTCTCATTGCTGCAGTTCAACACTACATCCCAGAATCCCACTGCTCCTTTAACACTACAGATCTTGTTATTGGCTTCTTTTGTTTTAGGTGAAACTTTTTTTTTGCCAGGAACCATTTAAATGAAATTATGTTGGTCATTTTTTTCTGCCTGTATTTCCTTTGGTGGGAAAGTCCTGTAAAGATCCTGTCAGTTGTGGAAATGGCGGTGCTGATTCTTGGCGTCATCTGTGCACTTTCCATGGCTTAACCTTGAAGACTGCACAAAAATGCCTGGACTTTCATGTTAGACCAACGACTTGAAGTCGTCTCCATTATTTAGAAGCAAAAACAGTGGACAAAAATCTGCTCTGCCTCAACAGATTGTTTTAAATAAAGTGCTTGAAACTTTTATTTTAAAACTTCTCCCAGTATCTTAGTTTTAAAGGGGGACTATTTTATTGTACCTGTGTTGGACACACTGGTAGTTGGTGGTACCAATGAACGTTTCTATAATTTGACCTGAATTAAGAACTCAGGATGCTTTTGTATTTGATGTGTGAACTATCACAATCAAGGCAACCACATTAGTTCATAGAAAACTAATGTGCAGTAAAATGAAGGTGAGAGGTTTTGATGAAATCCTAAAACTTAAGCAAACCAGTCATCATAGTTGACACACATTTACATCTTCTGTGTCTGACAGGTTTTATCTTTAAGTTGTGTCATTTCATACCACAGAGGTTCATACTCAGGATGGCCAACTGTCTGCCGGCTGAAGCTGACTATAATGTTTTACAAGTTTTGATTTCGTGTTTGGTTTTAAGGCCTATAATCTGTTGTGTTTCGTGTTTGGTTTTAAGGCCTATAATCTATTGTGTTCTTGTTCAGTTTTTTTTTTGCATGTTCAGAGGTGTTGGATTTTTGGTTGTCATTCAGCTGTGATCAGTGACTGTACAGTTTTTCCCCCCTTTTGCTTCTTTCACATATTTTCAGTGGAAACCACAAGGATGCACAGACATGATAGAGCAGGAGATTAAAATTACAAATCAAGTAAAGTCATGCTGATGACCAGAAGCAAAGGTTGACTTTGGACAGTCTTGTGGCCACACTTTGTGCATCTTATGTTAAAGACATTTGTGCAAAATACGGGAAGGTAAAGGATGATACACTCAAAGAGGTGAGTGTCTTTTGTTCTAACGATGACGGTTTCTGTGCTGCTGCTTGATGTGAACACAGAAAGTGAATCTATGTTGTATTTTAAAAAAATGATATTTCTGAAATTTTCAAATAAGACAAGCCGTTCAAAGGTTTGGTCCTACTTTCTTACTAAGTTTTGACTAGTTTTCAGGACCATGCTGTCCAATCTAACTAGACCCTATAATTTTCCATTCAGGTGTAAGTTTAGGGTCTAGTGCAATGTTACAATACACCTTGGTATATAATTGAGTACTAAACTATTCAAATAAGACAAAACTTCTTGTCTGAATGTTTTTATTATGGCTTCCAATCAATTCAAATCTGGAAATATATTGTAGAATTAGAAGGAAGATGGAATTGTTTATATAGAAAAATGTCAAGAGAATTATGTACAACTCAACTTTTAATAAAAAAAACCAAATTTTTTACACGTTTTTCTGTCAGAGAATGTGAATTTTAACCATTACTCTGTGAATGGTACTGGCAAGAAAGCTGTGCTGAATTTAAATGTAGTTAAAATGCAATAAGAAAATGCTTTAAAATAAATAAATGACATCAAGAGAGTAGCAAAAAGTACACTTTCTTGTGAAGAAATGAAGTGAATCCAGATGAACTTGTAAAACATTTATTTTTACAAAACACAGAAAAATCATTGCAGGAACCTTGTAAAACATTTATTTTTACAAAACAGAAAAATCATTGCAGGAAAAAACAAAACAAAAACAATTTTAAAGAAGTTCACTCTGATCCACTGTGTTCACTCGCTGTTGCCTGCTGGACTGCACTGATTGTTGTCATCATCTGATTTTTCATCATCTGAGAAAGAATATATGAAAGTACAAAATAAAGAGCTATATTGCTTTTTACTACTTAAATATGTATTACTTGTTATGCTTTATTCTACAACAGCCATTGAGACCAATTTTACAAAACAAACCCACAAATAAAAATAAATGGGTTCTACTTACTATCAAGTGTCTGCTGTAGTTCCTGTATGGTACTGAGGAGCACATGAAACTGTTTCTTCCTCAACTCCAACTGTGCAGAAAAGGAAAATATTATAACAGTTTAATAAGATTTAAGTAAACATGGGAGAAGGCTTTTAGATATTACACTGAAGCAAAATAAATTTATGATGGTTCATCATTGCGGAAGGCCAGCAGCTTTTCAGTGGGTTGGAATTCCTCTGCCAATTCCTGTCATTTTATTATATTAATTTGTGTAGTTCTTAATAAACAAAGGTCATTGAAATCCAAACATCATCTGGTTTTTACCTTGGCATCTACATTGTCCTTGGTGTTAGACAACTGCTGCAGTTCCTTATCAAGCGCCTCCAACTGTCTGCAACAAAAGGAGCAGCATATGATAAAAATGAACAAAAGGCATAAGTGTGGCACCAAGACATTTAATGAAATCCGAATCAAATAGAAGATGCGGGGCAACCTACTTTAGTGTTTCATGTCGGTCTGGGTGTAGCTGGATAACTTTGGCTAAAGCGTCATACTCTGAAAAAATAATTGTCAAATAGAACAGAATAAATATAAAGCACTCTTTTCAAAACGCATTGACCGAGCTGCGACAGCATAAAATCCTTAACACAAGGTCCAATAGTGGAAGTATTGTTTTTTATTTGGTTAGGTTTACTTAACAGAAACCCATCTTCATCAGTCACCGATACAGAAGAGGCACATGTTTTTTACCTTGACGATTTTTACGTATCCTCTTCGCCCTTTGGATTTCCTTCTTGCATTCTGTGATCTTTTCATGTGCAGAAGTAATGTTTTGTTCTGCAGTGCAACAAAAACAGGTTTTAAGTGTAGAATGTGTCAAACAGTGTTAGTAGTTATTCATGGGAGTAATCTTATTAATATTTACTAACAACATAAGATGTGTAAACGGTAAAATTAAAAGATAAAACAGTGTTAGTAGTTATTCATGGGAGATAAAAGATCTGTAAAAAGCTGTACATAAATAGTTTCTAACGTATGACATGATGCACATAATTTCTGATATAGAACTGCACCATTATTTGGTGCCTACCTCTTTGAATTCCAAATGCAGAATGGTTAATTTTCCTAATTTCCTACCTATGTTTTTGTAGATTTTTTCATAGTTCTCCATTTCGCGAAGATTCATATCATAAACCATCAACGTCTTTCCCATAGAGAACTCACACTGAGCCAGAGTGCTCAGCATCTTCTGTGTAAAGCTGAGGAAAAGAACAAGAGCGTAAAGAATTTGAAAACAATCGTATGGTCAAGCACACTGTTAACTAAGACTAAGATATCTTAAATAGCATAAGCATAGCAACCTCTCAATAAGCATTGGCTCTCACCCTTCCTCCGAAGGCCCTGGCGAGCTGCACCATTTGGTGAAGCTCTTTAACAGCACGTTAATGCGGCGGTCATCTCCGGCTCCATCCCCGTCGATAAGAAGACGCTTCCGGATCACTTCATCTAATAACGAAACAACTATGTGGTTAAACGTAACGTAACACACAAAGAAGGTGAAGTAAATGAACCGCTAACAACGGGCTATTGGTTAGCCACCTAGCGTAGCTATTCTTTTAGGTGTTCCCATACGAAAATACCTTATTTGAGCTTGCGAGGAATCTTTTAAAAGTAGTACGGCAAATGTCTACTTTAATTTTTATAAGAATTTGATTAAAAATGACTTACCATCTGTAACAGCACCCATACCAACATCGGGTTACAACGCTAACTAAACTTTACTGACGAACCGGAAGTGAGCGAAGCAGGCGGCTGTTATGATTGGTTATTGGTTTTTATTCTTGACCAATAAGGTTTATTTAATCAAATAGCCACGAAACGTCACGACGTCAATGAAATAAAAAGACCACTCTGCACAGCGTTACCGACTATTACCGTTACTGTATTTCAAATGTATTTTATTTTTTCCAGTAACGAAATACAAGTTTAAGAAGTGCATAATTGCACTTTATTAATTCTAATCAGAAGGGACATTATTAAACGTTTGTCCTGAACACATCTGTGGTTGTCTTATACCTATAATTGGAAATAAGTTTTGTTTATAGTGTACAATACAGTTTGGAAGCAATATCAAATTTGAATAAAAAATAATGTTACATTGACATAGCTCAAAAAGTTATTGTATACAGAATCAATTATCAGAATATTGCAACAACCCCCCCCCCTCCCCCCCCCCCCCCCCCCCCCCCTGTTTTTCCCACTTTGCTTTCTTGATAGTAACCTCCATGGGTTTTTGAAAAGTGAATTCCAAAACAACTGAATGTTTAATCAAGTAATCCCACACAAGCTATTTTTGAGCAGGGTCATCGCCAACTCTAATCTCTGCAAAACGAGAGATTTAAGAAAAGGATGGACTCAAGAGTTTATCTGCAAGATCACATCTGTACACAAAGATCATGCCTTTATTAGTATTCTTTGCAAAAAATAAACACCCTTCACGGTGACATTTCCACACCTAAGCCAAGGTTTTTTTCAGTATGACACTTCACACAATTCTAATATTTTTTGTCTGAAAACTAGTGCAGAAAATCTACTTTCTTATACTATTCTATACTATTTCTATTACATATTTGCTTGCTTTCAAACTTTTGGCCTTTACTGTATGTCCCTTATTTACTGAACATGGAGCAATATGTTGTTTACGTTCTCCAGTGTGTTACAAAACTGTTGTTTTGTGTGATAACGAAAATAAACATTAGAATGATGGAAAACTAATTATTTTTAATTTTGAAGACTCGTGTGTGAGCATGTGTACATGGACCCTGACACCGGGTTCTGGTGACGCCGTGACGTAGCCGTCCCAGAATGCAGTCTGGTAAACAGACATGGAAGCACCAGGTGAAGACCTCCACAGAGGCTGAGCACCGCCGAGCATCCGCTCCTTTTCCTACCACCTTCTCTCTCCTTCTGCCCTGCGCATCCGGCCTCTATCCACCGCCTGCGGTCACAGTAACCGTCGCAGCGTCCATAACCGCGGTAAGACACCAGGCAGTGTCGCTCCGTGACAACTGACAATGACTTCTGCTGCTGCTAAGCTGATGTCGGGGTTCTGCCGTCTGCTTCCTCGCTAACGCTACATTAGCCTGTTAGCTCATTTAGCTTCCGCTCACAGAGCTAACGTAGCCAAGCGTGCTAACAGCTAACATAGCCCCGCCACTTGGACATTACTAAAAGCGAAATCTCTTCCACACTGCTGCCACCAGAGAAACGCGTCTTTATTTTCGTCTCCCTTTAAACATAATGTTTTCGGTGTAAAAACATACATCTTTAAAATGTATTGCATTCCAATACGTATTTCTGTGTTTGTGGTCAGTGCAAGGGAGCAGCAGCAGAAGTGGAGGTATAGCTGCCTGACTTCTGCTGTCTGCTGCTACTGCTAATATAAGTATTTCCTGTGAAGTTGAGTTCCTATGTGTCATTTGTGGGAAAGAACTTTGTTAAATATCAATGTCAATTCTTGTGCTTTGACGTCAGTGGCCTGTGACGTCCACATAGCACCGATTACAATGCCGACTTTAGGCTAAACTTCGAGTAGTGACTTGCTTATATTGCAACATGTCACACTGTACAGTGTATACATTAACTTCAGCAACAAATGAATAGGAAACACACACGTGCAATATACATGTTCTACCTCGTCGAGCTTATCATCACCAGGATTTAACTTGGTAAGTTTGTAAAATCCTCCTACTAGTATCAAAGGAATATGAGGTGAACTCTTACATAAATTGCATTGTGGATAAACATGTTGACAATTCTATGGCCTCCATTACAATTTCAGGACTTGTTTGCCAACCCAAACCATTTCTAAAATATTTTTATTAGAAAATATAAAAATGCAGGATGAAGCCCTATGAAAAGCCCCCCTCAAAGCTCCACTGGTTTCAGAGCTAACCAGGGTTGTAAATATGTTTATGTAATTCTGTTTTCATGCATATCTAATATTGGTTGGATGTTGGTCTTGGATAATAAGTTCACAGAAGCAGACTGAGCTGTCTATATTTGTTTCTTTACTACCATCCACTCTCAGTGACCTTGAGCATCATTGTTGTCTCAGTCAGAGAAAAATACTATCTGTATCTATCTTTAGTTAGTTCACAATTTAAAGGTCTAATAGGTTTCCAAACAATTAAAACAATAAATTCCACAAATTTTAATCTTGACCTTAACCTCAATTGAGACACATTTAAAAGCTGGTACAGTATGATTATCTAAGAATAAATGGAAATTAACATACAACTTTCATTATTAGATCACTGTGTATTTATTTATGTATTGTATGGTCTATGTCTCAGTCAGACCATGGGGATACAATGAAACTGAGCCTCTGCTTTTAACCCATCACCAAGGTGAGCAGTGGGCAGCTTTAAGTGCCCGGGGAGCAGTGTGTTCACAGAATCAAGTGGTTGCTATCAAAGAGACTTTATTACAGGGTGTTTTGCATGTGTCCTGTCAAGGAAATCATTATAAAGTTGTATGGTCCACCTGCTGAGGGATGATGTCATGGGATTGTGTTACTGCATATTGATGAAGTGTGGGAAGGAACTGTGTTTTTGCCTGCAAATCAAGAAAATGCACAATGAAGAACCTGATTTTAAACAATTTTCTGTTTTGCTTGTCTCTGTGTGAATGTATGTCCCCAGGCATTCTCTTCAGTGTGTGGCAGTGAGTGATTACCCAAACTGATGAGGATCGATTGATTACGTTGTAAAAAGTTCCATTTTTCTTTTAGTGAAAAGGTAAGTGAATCTTGAATCTTGAATCTTGAAGTTTTCACAGCTACTTGCTAATACTCCGTACCATCATGTTTAATATACAACTTACCTCACTGTATAGTATAGTATATAGTAAAAATGTAACAAAGTTTCAAAGCAGCTGTAACGTAAGTTACTTCATTTGAAAACTGGAATTTTCCAGATAAGCCACCTTTATACACTTTACAGATGAGACCTGATTGTGTAGGCCAATGTTATGACACCACCAGAAGACATATGAAGTGACGATAATGAAACAGTGGTAGAATTATAATCTACTTGTGCTACATTTTGATAGTTTGAATCCATCCTTACCTCAAACCAAATCCTAATGTAAATATTCTCAGAAAAAGCCATTGGTTCAAACAATTATGTAAGGGGCGTATACCAGTGGACACACTGATCTTTCACATTTCTTTTTGAAAGACATAAACGTAAATCTTTTTTTTTTTCAAAAACAACTTATAATTAATTAAAACGTCATAGATAATAATTGAGGACACAGAATTCTACAGAATTGAAGATTGCACATTTTTTGGCAGATTCTGAAGTTTTGGTATGCACAACTTCCCTATATTGATTTTTGCCAATTCAAATTTCCTTTAATTGATGACATGTACAAAAAAATAAATGTTCTTTAGGGCAACATTTCATTCTCATCACAAGTAATTATGAAACATTTCCCACAAACTAAAGTCACAGTTTCAGTTCTTCAGTTAAACACCTTCAACATTAAATGCTGAAATGAGGATCTGAATGAAAATGAGTTCTTTTTATCCAGAGGTGATAATGCATTAAGGTTTAGTGCATGTTCACTATGCTAAGAAATTTAAAATTGACACACTCTCACTTTCAGTTGCGAGCCAAACAGAGTTAGCTTGTATTTGACCAGTGTCTGCAACAAAGTTTTCTTGAGTACAATAAAAAAAAGGTATTGACTCAAAATAACAAAACAACATTGTTCCATCCTCATTTGGACACATGCACAGATTTTGACCACTGCATTTAACCCATCCTGTAAACATAAGGATGAGCTCTATGTTGTTGACAATTTTAAAACAACCATGTGCATGTCAAGTTGTGGTGGGCCACGTAAAAACACATGGAGGGCCAGATTTGGCCCACAGGCATTGAGTTTGACATATGTGCCGTAGGTTGATATGAGTCAGGGAATGCAAAGTATGCTTGTTGTTGTTTTGTGGCACAACAGAATGACAACCAAGACCGAGAGTGCTTCTGAGTGTTCAGGTTCTTCTTCTGATTTTCAGTATTACACCTAAGCATGACTAGAACATTATTCTATCAACACTGTTATAAAGCAGTGCAGGTGTTCTTTCGGTCACTTTGTTATCTTCTGTAAATAAAGGCAAGGTCTATATTCTAGTGTAGTTCTAGTTTTGTCTTGTCTTCACTTTATGGTGGTAAATTATTCTCTACTGAACTAAGTCATTTACTAATGTCTTTATTATTTTAGAACAATGTGTATCTTTCTGATTTTGTAATTCTACTTTTAATTGCATGTCTTGACACCTTGAAACAATGTAATAAATATAGGTCATTCTCCTGCTTTCTGTCACAATATCTGCCTCAGTTTTAAACAGATTATAGTTTTGACCCATTTTCTTCCATTTGGAAAAAAATTAAAAAAGTTAAAAATCCTTTTTTTCAATACAAAGATAAATACTACTAAAAAAAAAACAAAACAGGTGGCTACATAATTTTTTCCTCATCAGTATATGATTCATGCTAGTCAGAGGATAACCACGTGCTATTTACGCTTTGAGGTGAATGCATTTACTTCTTAGTTCTAACCAGCCATTTTAAAAATCACAATTTATGGAACATCCTCACTACGGTTCTGGTCACAGGATGGACATTTTGTCTCTTGTCTTATCAAAAATCAGTCACATTGGATTTTTCAGAAAAAAATATTACTGCAGATTACATCTTGGCATCCATTAAAAATCAGGCCCTGACAATTTGGATAATCTACTAACTGTATTTTTACAAAAATCTTAAAAGGATTGGATCAGTTATTATTATTTCATCAGCTCTGCTTTATTTATTTATTTTTTGTTTATACAGGTAATTATTTCCACAATAAAGTACTGTCATCTGCAAAAACAACCAAAACGACCAATACAGAAAGGTGACATCCATACTGATGTACATACAGGGCACCAAATACTTCTTTTACAATGCTGAGTATTATTTTATAACTTTTAATCATTTATAGCAGTAAGGTGTTTTTGGAAATGATGTAGTCATTGATTCTACTTTGGTTTATATAAAATCATTAATGTTGAGACTTACATGGAGTGTGTTTACTTGTTGCTTGTAAAATGGCCACACGTACGCACGTAACAAAAGAAAAAAATATTTTTAGTTATGTCAGTTAAAGGATTTTTTTTGTCTCGTGTATATCTCAAGCGCCACCAACCTCGGCTTTTACTCTCGTGTTGTTACATTGTAGCGGAAAGAATGTCGGAAAGGGCCGAGGATGACGTCAGGGGGGAGCAGCGCCGAGCGGCCAGGCAGCAGCTGAAGCAGCAGCAGCAGATACAGCGGGGAGAAGCCTCCACAGCAATGGCGACTGTGGCGGAGCGCAGATCACTGCCGAGTCCAGAAATAATGCTGGGGCAGCCGTGGAGCAACTGGGTCGACGCCGCTAAACTCCACTGCAACGACGGTAAGTCCCGGTCCTTCTATTTTCTCCCTCTCTACCCCCGGCGAGGAAAAGGCAAGCCAGGAAAAGCGCGACAGTTGCCAGTCCCGACCTGTTTTCTTTTGGCCGATTGCATGCAGTTTTTTGAGGAATACGAACAAGCGATACTGGGAGTAACTGAACGTGCAAGCGAGCAAGTGCAACTATTAATGTCTGCCTGCCTGTGTGTGTGCGTGTATGTATGTGTGCTGGTTCGCCTAATTTTCAGGTGCTGAATCGGAAGAAAGTTTCAAAGACTTGGGGAAAAATCGAGAAGCCATGCGACTGTGCAGAGAAGGTGAGGATTTTCTCTTTCACGCCAGAGGTGTTTTTGCGTTTCTTGTGTTTTCAGTCACACATGTCAGAGTCAGAATCTCAATAAGAATTTACTTTAAATTGCTATTAAATTTGCACACACTTAAACTATGCTGTATCGTGACAATGTTAATGTATAAAACACTATGTATATAAAAGTAGATATACATTTGAAGATAATGATTAAAAAAATTAAATTAAATTAAAATCTTCTTTAAAAAACAAAGACTTGTTGTAATTTTGTTCCTGCCCTTCTAAAGATGCATTTCAAAAAACAAGAACTTTGTAACATCCCAAAAAATCAAAAGAAAAAGGCAAAAATAAATTCACTGTAGTAGGAAAAGCTAAATAGTAACACAAAGAATTGGTATTCATAAATTACCAGACATCACCAACATTGGTCTGCGGATGGTTGATGTAGAAAACTACAACGTTTTCATCCCATATGCATAGTTCCAGAGCTGGAGAGAAGATGTTTATTGAAACCTCTGTAGGGGCATTTGTCCAATACGTTGACATTTTATCCAAATTGACTTACAGCATTTAAACGTCACACATGTGTTTTACGAGAACTTAGTCATACTTTGATCGACTCAGATGCTTAGGTTAAGCCGGCTATCTCTTTATTAAAATGTAGTAAACAAGTAGTTTCTAAATATATTACAATTGTACATTATTTGTTTCACAGGAGTAAGCATTTCTGTGCTTAGCCTTTTTGTCTTTGGTAAATTTACATTTATTGTTAGATTTATTTTAAATTTAAAAAAGGGTTTCATTTTGAATTGAAAGCCTTAATCACATATTGTTTGTTTAAAATAGAAACTGCTATAAAATACGTTTTACCTAACACTGATTAATTGTGATTTCAATATTGATAAAAAATAAAATAATAATAATAATAAAGCAAGTAAAAGAAACCACTTAATTGTGCTTACATTCCACTACACCTTAAGTTTCACTCCAGCTTTGTTCCCTCAGGTCCACAGACAAAAAAAGGAAGTCACAATAAAACAATAGTATTATTGTATTAATCTATATTTTAGAAATAAACTGCCTCAAAGTTTAAAGTGTCTTAAGTGTTTTTGTACAGTGTTTTATTTTTTTGTCTGAATTGTAACCATTTTACAACTACACCACATTTAAATGCATATAATGACAATTGTCTAGATGTGATGGCTGACTCCAGGCCCATGTTTTTTGTGTGTGCACTGAAGGGTAAAAACACAACTATTTTGTCATATCACTGATCTGAAACACCTGCTGCCTTTGACAGAATTTCCTGATCATAGGATGTAGTTCTGCATGCGGGTGTCTATTGGGTAGTATTAGGAGGGGATGACTTTGTCCCTCCACCATGACTCACCAACAGAGTCCTCCTGTGGAGCAACTGTCATTCTAACTCGGATGATTAACACACACATAAGCACATTCTTGGAAAAAAAGAGGGAATGACTTATGAATTTAAGATGAATGGATGGATGAGTAATAAATAATGACATGGATTTTAATCTGCTGGCATCTAACAGTTGCATCGTTACAGTTGTAGACCTGGAAAATATAGTGTCATTTTGTCACAGTTCAGATTCAGCCAGCGTTTGTGTACTCTGCTCAGAGGCATCCAGAGATGCTGCTATTCTATCTGGATCATTTGTCACTGCCATGGATGAGGACACTAAAATTAACAGAACCCTGGTTCTCTGGCGCTCATGCTCTCTCTTTCTTACCCTCGAGTGCTGGTCCAATGCTTACTCCCTCTTGAACAATGCTGCAATCTTTCAGCTGTTTTCTCCTCAGTTAACCTGTTTCTTGGCTGTGGTTCGCGTTTTCTTTCTCTGTCTGTAATGTTAACTTCCCTACTCTTTATTTTTTTTAACTTCCTTTTTGAGGAGAACAAAATGGAGATGAAAAGCTTGCTCAGCTCAGTAGCATTGGACAGCGCTGGCCATTTTAGTCAAATTCAGTGCATGCAGACTGGCAAAGTGATCCAGCCAGACTGCTTTTATAGTTGAGCAATTTTTTTTTTTTTTTGGGGATGGCTATGGCAAGAGCTTAATGGTAGCAGTGTAAAAATGAGCTGGTTGAACTGACAATTGATCCAATAAGGAAATGTCTTTATGCTTTGTGGGTGTTTCTGGTCTTTGTCTCCTTTGTAAGATTTGAAGGAAGTAGAGTTACAATAGAGAGAACAAGTAAAGATGGCCACTGTGATGAACCTCTGATTTCTAATTAAACAGAACAGGGCTGCAAAAACACACTATTCTGAGGTTTTGAGGTTTTTCACTTTTGATATTTAGGGGCTTTAATATTAAAGTCCTCAAATAACTGTTGTTTGAACAAATGATACCAGTCATACCATGCTTCAGAACATACATAATCATTGTCTCTGCTTAGCAAATAATACTGTCTATATGCACACCAGCAGTGTGCTTGACTTCTCAAGTTAAGTTAAAATAAAGTGACATTAAAGTGAAGTGAATATTTTGAGTGATCTGATCTGTGGCAGCTCCAAAAAAAAAGGGCCTTCTTACATCTTGCTGTTGAAGGAGGCACTTATGTCTGCAGCTTTGGACAATTGACTCACATTTAATTGCCCCTGGCTCATTCGTTGACACAAGGGGGTCTACAGATGACCCAAAGAAGAGGCTTACTGGCTTTCATGCTCCTCAAGATACAGAACCACCTTTAAGGACCCTTGACTGCCTTAGTCTAAATTTGAGAGGGGGCTCCACTTCTCTCATTTTGATCCCTCTCATCAGCTCATTGTAGCTCTCCAGGCAATGTCTTCATTAGCCTTCTTAATTAGCTAGTTTGTGCTTCTGCATTCAAGAGTGAATTTTGATCACAATCTTTTATGGACCAGCATTTGCCATTGAGTTGTTTGGTTACAGTTCTAGGACGATGGTCTGATATTCCTGAACTTTCATAGTGCTAAGCCCTAAACTTTTCAGCACCCAAATGGTTTTAAACATGACTGATACTGTTAAAAATATTAATACTTATTTAAAGTATTAGTATAGTAAATATATTGATTCATTTTCTTATTCTTCATTATAACAAAGTGAACTTTATTCCATTGCCTTTTTATTTCACATTTTATTTGTATAAGACAAAAATGCACCATTATAAACATTGACAAGCTCTTCTCAAATGTTTGCAACAAACAACAATATTAAACAAAATGTTGAAACACAATTTGTCTAATGTGCTAAAAATCTGAATTCCTTTGGAAATTACTCACACATACATACACAAGTAGTTGCTTTACAGTACAGAGTAGACCAAGGCATTTTAATGCTTCAAGTGAAATGAGGATTTTGCCCCTATTTTGCCATTTCTCCCGCCTTCTCTACTGCTTGACCAACCACCTTTGACACAACA